CTCTTCCACTAAGGTAAATTTGATACTAATCAAGTGTACAGAAGAAACTGAATGTTTATGTTACTCCTGGCTGTTTGAGGAAAAGCTCCAGCAATTAGCCACCATGGTCTGATCTGCAAAAGCCTCCATCTCATAGTGGCATTTTTTTATAGTAATAGTCCTTGAGAAAAATCCTCAACTCTGTTCTGTAACATGCATGGCTAGACTCAAAACTCTGCTTTCTTCACCTTGGGCTAATCCTTTCAATTGTCACTGAAGAACCCTTTAAGGTTGATCATTTATGTGCTAGGTTATGCTTTTCCTTTCAAACATCTGAAGTTAAAAACACCGCAGAGGAAATGCTCTGTTTTCTATCATAATGTCTTAGAGGAAAATGAATATTCTATTGTATGTGGCTTTCATTGCTTAAAAAAAACCTCAACCTGTGAAAGCTTATTAATTAATTTCTCCATCCAAAGCTATGTGCTTCAAAGCTTAATGCTTCAAAGCTCACAAATCTCTTGTAGGCAAACTTAGTTTTCACTAGATGGTATGACACCAGAAATAGAACAAACAACCCCTGCACAAATGAGCTTAAAGTACTTCAAGAAAAGCTACAATATACAGTTTGTCCAGTTTTTTTTTTTTTAATTTTCTCCTTTATATTTTTTCTAAATTAACAAAAAGGTTGCTAGGTATAGTCCTTTCACATTTGTACAGTAGAGTGTTTCAAAGGAATAAAAAGGAAGAGAGAATCCTCATTTTTAGTTAGGGGAACTAAAGTTCACAAACACTAGAAATTACTCAGAATGCCCTCTGATCCTTATTTATTCTTGTTGCTTTTTTTCCCCTCTTAGGCTTGACATTCCAAATGTTTCATATTTTAAAGAAAAATTGTTACAAGATGGTTTAGACAGTTCTGATAAAAGCTGCAGACAAATCTGTCAATGGCTGCTTCTGCTAAAAAAAATTACCAAACCTAGAAAAACAGTTTAGTAACTTAAATCATATCTATCTTACACAGACCAAAATTGACTAATTCCTTCTGTTAGAAAAGTAAAAATGTTGGGAAAGAGGGTACACACTACAGAAATCAGGGAAAGTAATTCGGTCCAGTGGTTGCTATTGTATTTTCAGCTCTAGAACAACAGAACTGGATTTCAAACTGACAATAAGGCACTGACCAGTCTCTCTCAGATCCAAGTGTCTGCCTCCCCACAAAAGTTTGGATGATGACCAGAAAGAAGTTCAGTTGTACCCACTGAAGAAGTTCAGCATTCACTTATACAGATTCCTTCAATAACAACTCTCCCAAACACCAAATCTATTTACTTTAGACACAAGCCATTTTTAGGGAAAGGCAAAGGAAAAAAAGAAAGGGTCGGTATTTAAATAACAACGCTTTTAAAAGTTGACCTCATAGCAAGAATAAACAACTCATTGGTGTGATTTAGTAGCAGGTCTAGTGTTTTGAAGCTTAGAGCAGGCAGTATATTAAAATGGCTGTGAAAAGATTAGGACTTCTAATGCTTGTGAATGAAAATACCAGAGGAGGAGAATGCAGAAAAATGCCACTGCAGGAGCCAGAAAAACATCACCACCCAATTTTCCTTTTATCAAAAGGCCCACAGTGCCTTAGCAACACAAAGCTACATTTACTTCTGTTGGAAGGGAAAGCATCTTCCAGTTGACAACCTGCCTTCATTTCTCATTAACAGTGGAAGAGTATGTTCTTCTAAAAATTTAATTGCAAATAAGCGCACTTAAAATGTGGCAAGGAAACTAGCATTAAACTACAAAGTTAACGTCAATCAAAAAAAATAAACTGATGCAACTGTGTTGCATTCTTTTGTGTTTCCTTGATAGTTTGTTTCTTATATGTTTTCATTTTCAGTAGTAAATGTTCTGCTAGCAGCAACAATGTTGCTGCAAATTCTTCTATAATACATCTGAGTTCTGAGAGGGAAAGTTAACAAATAGTCAATTCCCCAAAAGGGCCACATGAGAGAGTGCAGAATTGAGGAAGTGAAGATCGCCCTGCCACGATTTTCAGCATAGTGAGCTTTTTCCTTTTCAGAACTTACAGAAGTGGTATCTGCTTGTTAGAATCTTGGAAAAGTTCCTTGTAGGAGAGGTTAAAAGTTGGGTATTAAAACCAGGTGGTACATACTTAACTCAAATGCACATTGAATCAGAGTTACTTGGGCAATGTTTCAACAGCATTTTCCACAAGAAATGGTTAGTAAAATGAAGCACATGCCTAGATTAACTCAAATTGTACAGATCCCATTTTGTAAAATCAATTGTGACTAACATTAGCTCTTTAAGAACACTGAAATGGAAGGCATTTGATTAAATGTAGCAGAAGTTATAAAGAAATAGCATTAAGTTAGAAAGCTAACATTAAGTTAGCATTTAGTACTTCAATTTACGATAGCCAGAGATGTATTAGAAGTGCACTACATTTAGTATCACCACAACTAATTCTCTAAACTGGGTGGATTCTCTGTTGGTGTTTAAACTAAAAATCTTATAGGAAGTGAACTGTGAAAAAAGTGGCTTTGTAGTATACCAGTCAGCAGATGATCAACATTTACATATAACCCAGCCAGGAAGATCTACTCTGAACTATTTTTGTCCACATTCCTGTAATAATGGATCTTTTGTTCTACAAGACATCTCAAGAGACCTCTTTCAACTAAAGATATAAATACAACAAAATAAAGTTATGAACGTTAGCTGCAAAATTTCAACAGCTACTGAAAGTAAAAACTAAAGAAAAACATTGCAAGATAAACCAAAGACAAACACAATCAACTGGCTGACATTCTGGATAGTGCATCCTTACCTATCTGGTTGCTGTATTGTTTTCCCATTACTACTTTAAACGTTTTGTTTAACTACTACTTTTTACAGAGAGGTGGATTACTGTGCTCTTCATAGTTGATTTGAGTTGTCATTCAATTTAAGCTTTCTGTGACAGGTTTCCTCTCAGGAGAGAAAAAAAAATCATTTTTCCCTAATAATCTTCCAATTCAAAAGATGTAAAGTCTTAATTCCAGTAATCCTTCAGATTGTCACAAACACTAATACGGGATAAAACAGAACTAGATATTGAACTTCTGGTACTAAGTATCTAAAATTTTTTTCATTAATCATTGTTTCTCTTATTACTCTTGCTAAACATTTTAAGAGGCTTCTTTTTTCAACAGTTCTCCCACGAAAAATGAGATATTTGAGGCTAGAAAAATAAAGATCAAAATGATATATGATGTCTAAATAGGCAGAGAGCAGCTACAGGCAACAGTTCATCTAATGATGACTATTGACAAGGGCTCAGCACTGCTTTCCCCATCTTACTCTATGTACCATAAAAACAGAAGAAAAGATCTGGATAAATTCAAAGAACAAAAACAACACCTTCTGACCCGACTCTGTCTTTAGCAAAGCTGTGTGATGTCAGGCTGTGGCTCCCAGTTTCATGTTTCCTCTCACTAACATAAGAATAGATATAGTTAACCTGCAATGCAGCTAAATTAGCTTATTAAAAAAAATCCAAAATCCACAGGGTTACCATACACAATGCTTAAAAAAAGTACACACATTTTGTTAAAAACACTTTTGAGAAGAAACACACACTAAGTAATTTTAAAAATGCAAAACAAAAACGAAAGCTGTGCAAAATCTATTACAGTAATACTGTTGGCTATGAAGATGTTGTCTCTGCTATACACCCAACATGGGTTAAGTGATGTTTGAACTGAAAAGCGATTCGTCACGAGCAACCTCCTTTCAGGATATACTACTTCAGGATCAGAACTGATTATTCACTCTCCACAGAAAAAGATATACAAAGTGATACCAAATTGTGTAAGTGTGACACAGAAGTGTGCATCTACTATATCCTCTTTATACTAAAAACAGATTTCACAGAGTAACATTTGGAAACGCCCCAACTTTCCACCTCTCTCCTCCCCAAGAATGGTTCTCTCTTTATGCTAGTTTGTTCTCTCAATAGGGACAGCAACCTTCCTCCTCTGCCTCATCAGTCACAAACTAATGATTTCTGTTAAGAAAATGCAATATTGATTCTGGGAACTTTAATGTGTGAAACTCTATCCCCTTACCCCGATTTAATAAATGAAGTGTACATTACCAAACAAATTACCACCTCTGGAATTTTTTTTTTTTTTTTTTTTATTTTAAGATTATCAAGAGAACTCATTACCTCAGACTACTGGATAGTTTTAGAAAGTCTAGGGGTCCACCTGTAAGCTTATTTACTGCTTTTGAATTACAATCTCAGTGGAATATCTACCATTTTTTCAAGAAGTTTTCCTGGACACTATTGGAATTTCTTCCATATTTATAAAGATCAATGTTCCGAATGTTAAATAGGGCTTTGTGTACAAGAGACTATAATTAAGTAACTTAAAAGAACCCAAAATAAGGCATGAATGAAAATTTAATGCATAGAACACAGCAAATTTGTCCTCCAGTTTGGGATTTTAAATTTTTTGAGGAAGTACGTTTAGTGACAAAGAATTACTCATATATAGGAAAAAGGTTTTGATTATCTAGTCCACCCTATTTTTCTTTCCTAGATTAAACTTCTCTAGGAATTGCAAATATAGTTCGAGCTCCTAAATCTTGAACAATACAGATAATTAAAACCATTTTTTTCAAAATGAAAATATGGAAACTCTGACATTGTGTCTCTCAAACACTGTAAAAAAGAGGTCTTATAAAACTGATACTCTGAAGCATTTTACCCTGAGAGAGGGTCTTCTGCTTTTCCCTCCCTTTAACTGTACCTAGGGGAACATCCTTCCAGAGAAGTAAAACATCTCTGTGAGCTATATCCAGTGTTTGTTGTGTAGTGGAACCATCACATGGAGGAAAGTAACCAGTGTAGAAACACAATGGGAAGGAAACACTCAGTTCTGACCTGATGACACCTCACAGCTCCCACTTAAAAAACCCAAAACAGACTATTCTTCAACTAGGAACTAGACAAGCATGTATCACGATCCTGCTTACAAGAAAAAGTGTGCTGTACACACACTCAGCCTTTGTGCCACTGGCAGGAAGTAAGGTTCCTATACAGTACTAAGGTTACCAAGTTTAGTACTTAAAACAAACAAACAAAACAAAACAAAAAAATGTTGCATTTGTTACAGCTCTCATAGTCTAGGTCTGAGAAAATTAATGATGCTCCAGATCAAGTGAGCCTGAGAGAAGCTCCAATTGAAGGCTGCTAGTATAGTCTAAACACCATCCCTAGAATGTGTAAGTACCGCTATATCCTTAGTCTAAACCCAGCTGTTGATGCAACCCTTAAGAAATATGGTTATACCCTTTTTAAAGAATACTAAAAAGGTGGTTTCCCCCCCCCCCCAAAATTAGTATAAAGTTAAAAGAAATGCAAATTAGCTACAACCTATTTAACCCAAGCACAGCACCGCCATAAGTTTCACACACACTATTTGGTGTTGCATGTTGGTTTTCCTTTCACTCTTTAAGGCAGTGGTTTCCACAGGTCAGTTCAGAAAATATTAAGAAGCATGGTCCATGGCAGTTCATGTTGCAACTCCATTTTTCACTCAAGGGAATCCATTCCCCAAACTGTTAGTACTCCAGCGTTTAGAGATTGAGCCTTTAGGTTCTGTTCTGGCTCAGAAATAAATGTATAGCTGGCACGCTTTCTTCAGGACGTCATGCTCAAATTATGAGAAACAGTTCATCAAATTGTTCTCTTTCATGTTTTGAATTAGCTTTTTACTCAAAAGACATCAAGTTGGCAGGAACCTAAAACAAAAACACAAGTAACAGCTGATTTTTATTTTGAGAATTGGCTTTCCATATTTCATCTTTTCAGAACCCACCTCTTGCAAGTTTAAAATGTTCAGTTTACCTCTCCCCTCTACAAAAAAAAGGGTAAATACAAGCAGTCAAGCAGCACTAGAGTAACTACAACTATAGGAAACATATATACAGAGAAGGCAGACATTAGATTGCAGTATGGTTTATAAAATGTGTTATAACATGATTTGGCTCTGGTCTATATCTACAGGTGAATTATGACATAATGTAGTTTGGCCACAATTGAGAGTTTAACATTTATTAAAGTTAACAAGCCTATTGAAGACAGATGCAAGGCCTTCACAGCTGAAGGTCCCAGTTTATGGAATTCCAATGAACAGAGACTAGGATAAGGCCAAGTCTTGCCATGTTCATGGAATATGCAAATCTCATATCTTTGTGAAGGCATTCCCCAAATAATGGAGAGGAAGAAGTGCACAGCAGTGTTCTTCATCATTCTTTAATGGCTAGAAAACGGGAAGTGCTGACAACACTGCTCCTATAAAGAAGAGGAAATGCTAATATACTCCAGGAGCAGATCTAGAACAATCAGCTTGTTGTATGTGAGGAAGTCATATTTTGCCAGCACTTTTAGAGTGCTGTCATTCCTCATCTGCACTGTGGTTGAGGAATAAATCTTATTCCCCAAGAGATCCAGCTGCTTAATGTCCTTACCCTTTGATATGTATCTAGAAGCTTCAGTGTAGTGAGATCTCACATCAGCTGGAGAGTCAATCTGAGAGCCCAAGGTCAGACAAGTAAAAATATTCAAAACCTTTTTTAATGACCTGATATAGAGGGATAGTTTGTCTATTTCAGAGTCGGAAGAATGAATCTGGGGATAACCAAAGACTCCTTGTCAGTTTCATGGTACCCTTGCTTAAAAGGGATCTCCACAAATCTGAGGTACTTGGTCTACAGAATAATGAAGACCCTGTGAGCTTTCTTGGGACCAGACTAAGTCCTAGGTTGAAGCTCTCTGCAAGGGGTCACAATAAGTCCGGGAAGGGAAATCAGTTCACGAAGAGATCATAGATTCATCTGCAAAAGGTGAGATTCGAAGTGTTTCAAGGTCACTAGTCATCTCAAACTCATCCTCTTCCATTACTGACCCCTCAAAATGAGTGTGTTTACACAGCAAAAAGTTAGGACAGGCCTCCCACCACTGACAGTGCCAAACTTTAATACTGCACTTGGTTTACTGGACCTGAAAAGCCTACTTCCTAAGTAAGTGTTTGAGGTGGCCATCCTGATATTTATACGGGTGACTAGAGAAGACAAGGTAGATTGAACACCTGTCAGGATTGTGACCTTTTCCTAGGCACCAGTAGCACTGAATAAGAGTGTCTATAACAGACATAACTGCATTATATGTAGCTTATGGCTCAAAGCTAAGCTCTCATCAGTGTGCCCCCCAGCTTGGGTAGTCAGATTTGTACTAGCTCAACTTGAGCAACCACACTAAAAATAGCAGCACGGGCAGAGGCATGGGCTAGCCACCCAAGCTCACACTCAGGTGCTTCTTTATGCTTTTTAGCAATATAAGCAACACAAAATTTGATTAAAGGTTATATTGGGTAGCCAATACCTAACAAAAATGACACTAGGGCTGTCAAGCGATTAAAAAAAGTAATCGCGATTAATCGTGCGATTAATCACACAGCTAAACAATAATAGAATACCATTTATTTAAATATTTTTGGATGTTTTCTACATTTTCAAATATATTGGTTTCAATTACAACAAAATTTTAGAGTAAGCAAGTCCACTCAGTGTGAGTCTGCAAGTGCACTCAGTTCTACTGCTCAGTTCTACTGCTGCCCGTTTCGTTTACAATGTCACCTGAAAGTGAGCACAAGCATTCTCATGGCACTGTTGTAGCTAGGGTCGCAAGGTATTTATGTGCCAGATGTGCTAAAGGTTCATATGTCCCTTCATGCTTCAACCACCATTCCAGAGGACATGCGTCCATGCTGATGACTGGTTCTGCTCAACAACAATTCAAAGCAGTACGGACCGATGCATGTTCATTTTCATTATCTGAGTCAGATACCACCAGCAGAATGTTGATTTTCTTTTTTGGTGGTTCTGTAGTTTCCGCATCAGAGTGTTGCTCTTTTAAGACTTCTGAAAGCATGCTTCACACCTCGTCTCAGATTTTGGAAGGCACTTCAGATTCTTAAACCTTGGGTCGAGTGCTGTAGCTATCTTTAGAAATCTCACATTGGTGCCTTCTTTGCATTTTGTCAAATCTGCAGTGAAAGTGTTCTTAAAATGAACAACATGTGCTGGGTCGTCATTTGAGACTGCTATAACATGAAATATATGGTAGAATGCGGGTAAAACAGAGCAGGGGCATACAATTCTTCCCCAAGGAGTTCAGTCACAAATTTAATGAACACATTTTTTTTTTTTTAAGAAGCATCATCAGCATGGAAGCATGTCCTCTGGAATGGTGGCCAAAGAACGAAGGGGCATACAAATGTTTAGCATATCTGGGATACAAATACCTTGCAATGCTGGCTACAAAAGTGCCATGCAAATTCCTGTTCTCACTTTTTGGTGACATTGTAAATAAGAGGGCAGCATTATCTCCCATAAATGTAAACAAACTTGTTTGTCTAAGTGATTGGCTGAACAAGAAGTAGGACTGAGTATACACTTTGATTTCAATTACAACACAGAATACAATATATATGAAAATGTAGAAAAACATCCAAAATATTTAATAAATTTCAATTGGTATTCTATTGTTTAACAGTGCGATTAAAACTGCAATTAATTGTGATTAATTTTTTTTAGTTAAACTGCGTGAGTTAACTGTGATTAATTGACAGCCCTAAATGACACTACACAGAATTTTGCAATACTGATTCTAAACACTACTACAGCTTACAATAGTGATACTACCAGTAAGGTGTTCTGAATTATTACTTTATAATAGCCTAGTATGTTGCTTTTAAAAAAATAAAGATATGTAAGGGTATATTATGCATAAAACCCTGTCAACATGTTACAAGTATTAAGATATCCCTTTCTCCTCCAAATTGCCCAGTTGCTTCATTTGATCCTTATAAAGGCTTAAATCTTTGTTTGTGAACACAATCTTTATGTTACCTCCAAGTTGTGTGTATTGGTAGGAGTATCTTGTTTTGCATAAAAACTGACCGACTAGTACTCCATTTTCTTTCACAAATAGTTACCAATGCCAAGTTCCGATCAGCAGCTCTCAATTCCTTTTCACAGTATTGTTCTCACCTGTTGTCTGTTGCTTTGGCAGGCAGCGCTCAGATGTTTGAACCACAGCATTGCATTCATTCTGTTACCAGCTTGAAACTTGTATGAATTTCCTAAAATGACAGAGGTAGGAAAAAAATTGATTAAAAAAATCAGACAAGAACAAATATAGTACTGTACTTCAATTCTACTGAAGTTCAAATAAATAAATAAATAAAACAATAAATTAAACATTATCAAAGAGTGAAAAGACAGAATTCTATTCATATAACTTTAGAACTTGGGTGGTGTGGTTGCAATTTAAACAACAACATTTGACTTCATACAACAGATGTGCTATATTCTGCCAAAAGTTCACAGCCTCCAAACCAATTATTAAGATCAGTGTCAATAAAAAACAAAATAAAACAAAAACAAAAAACCCCCCAAGACCCTGATCCCACCAAATTATTTAGAATGTTGTGACCAAAGTACTTTTTGTCCATGGCACCTGAGACAGATGGGGCAATTTCCTGCGATATCCTGGACAAACCTTACTGAATTAAGTTTAAGTATCTTAGGTGTCCATTACATTAAAAATGCAAATGTTTATATATTATTATGAGGTTGTATATAACATCTCTGGGGGGAAGAGACACGACTAATGTAAACCTGGGAGGCATTATGAGCTTCAAAGACTATTTGAAACAATGAACTTTTAAAGTTAAGTGGGTTTCCCAAGAAACCTCTAGGGACAAGTATATGCAAATGTAACTCCTCTGATTATGCAAAAACCCAGCCTTTTGAAGCTACTAACTGAGAAGAGACCCATTGTCCACTAATGATCTATTTCCAGTTCAAAGATACTGGCTGTATAAAGGGGCGACTAAACTTTTCATGAGTGTGATTGTTCTGAGCTAACAGCTGTTACGAACTTGTGACCATAGAAAAACCCGTTGGTGAGGTTTGTAGAACTGTTCATCTGCCAGAGCCCTTCATGGTATTGGGGTGATTGCTGGTAAGCTTATTAGCATGTGTGAACATTCTTTTATTGTTTTTAATATGTACTCTGTAATGCTTTTACCTTAAGAATAAATGTGCTTTCTCAGAAGGAGCTATGTGGTAACTTAAAGGACAGTTACCTGTTCCGTAACTGGCGTTCTTCGAGATGTGTTGCTCAGGTGTATTCCACTATAGGTGTGCGTGCTCGCCACGTGCACCGGTACCGGAAGTTTTTCCCTTAGCAGTATCCGTAGTGGGGGAGCACCGCTGCGACCCCTGGAGTGGTGCCTGTATATCGCGCCATAAAGGGGGCTGCGTGCTCCCCCCACCCTCAGTTCCTTCTTGCCAGACAACTCCGACAGAGGGGAAGGAGGGCGGGACGTGGAATACACCTGAGCAACACATCTCGAAGAATGCCAGTTACGGAATAGGTAACTGTCCTTTCTTCTTCGAGCGATTGCTCATGTGTATTCCACTAGAGATGACTCCAAGCTATCCCTGAGGGAGGCGGGTAGGAGTTTAAGTGTAAAGATTTAAGGGTTACCCGGGCGGAGCACCGCTCTACCAAACCCGGCGTCATCCCTCGTTTGGGAGACGATCGCATAGTGCGATGAAAAAGTGTGGACAGAGGACCACGTAGCAGCCCTACAGATGTCCTGAATAGGGACATGAGCCACATAGGCCACTGACGAGGCCTGGGCTCTCGTCGAATGAGCCTTCACTATAGGAGGCGGGGGGGACCCCTGCCAGGTCGTAGCAGGTGCGAATGCACGAAGTGATCCAGCGGGAGATCCGCTGGGTGGAGACCGGTCGCCCCCTCATGCGTTCGGCTTAAGCAATAAAAAGCTGGGGGGGACCTCCTAAATGGCCGGGTTCTGTCTACGTAAAAGGCCAGTGCTCTGCGCATGTCTAACATGTGCAGGTGGCATTTCTCATTGGAGGAATGGGGCTTAGGACAGAGGATCGGGAGGAAAATATCCTGATCCATGTGGAAAGCCGAGACTACCTTCAGCAAAAAGGCGGGGTGAGGGCGGATCTGAACCTTGTCCTTATGAAAGACCGTATATGGCGGTTCAGAGGTCAGGGCCCTGAGCTCGGAGACCCGGCGGGCTGAGGTGATAGCCACTAAGAACGCCACCTTCCACGACAGGTGGGACCACGAACACGTGGCTAATGGCTCAAAAGGAGGCCCTGTGAGGCGGGAAAGTACCAGGTTTAGGTCCCAGAGCGGGACTGGGGGTCTGGCGTAAGGGAATGCCCGATCTAACCCTTTCAGAAACCGGGCCGTCATGTGATGTGAAAACACAGACAGGCCCTGCACCGGGGGAGAGAAAGCCGAAATGGCTGCCAGGTGCACCCTGATGGAGGAGGGCGCCAGGCCTTGGGTCCGAAGGGATAGGAGGTAATCAAGGACAAGCTGGATAGACGCGGAAGAGGGAGAAGAACCTCTATCCCTTGCCCACCTAGAGAACCTATACCACTTAGCCAGGTAGGTTTGCCGCGTGGAGGGTTTCCTACTCTCCAGCAGGACCCTTCTCACATCCTCAGAACACCTCCCCTCCTCCTCATTTAACCACGAAGCAGCCATGCTATCAGATGGAGCGTAGCTAGGTTGGGATGGAGGAGGCGACCTTCCTCCTGGGAGAGGAGGTCCGGACATAGCGGCAGTCTGCAAGGAGGGGCCGCTAAGAGTTGCAGCAGGGACCCGTACCAATGCTGACGGGCCCAATCGGGGCTATGCGGATAATCCTTGCCCTGTCTGACTTCACCTTCTGTAGGACCCTGTCTATTAAGGGGAAGGGCGGGAAGGCATACAACAGGGGCCCCGACCATGGGAGCAGGAACGCATCCGATAGCGCCCCGTCGCCCTCTCCCGCTCTGGAGCAGAATCGAGGACACTGTCGATTCTGGGCGGTGGCGAACAGGTCTACCTGGGGAGCACCCACTGTAGGAAGATCCACCTGGCCACCTCCTTGTGCAGGGACTACTCATGCCGTTGGGAGAATACCCTGCTCAGGCGGTCCGCGAGTGTGCTGCTCTTGCCGGGCAGGTAAAAAGCCCGCAGGAGCATATTGTGAGCTATACAGAACTCCCACAGGAGCTGGGCTTCGAGGCATAAGGCCCGGGAACGCGTGCCCCCCTGTTTGTTGACGTAATACATGGTGGTCGTGTTGTCCATGAGGACTCTGACCACCCTCCCGTGTATGTGCTGGCGAAATGCCACGCACGCCAGGCGTATGGGCCTGAGCTCCCTGACATTTATGTCCAGGGTTAGTTCCTCTGGTGACCACATACCCTGGGTCCTGAAATCCCCCACGTGGGCTCCCCAGCCCAGGTCCGAGGCGTCCGACACTAGATCTAGTGAGGGAGGGGGCTCTCGGAAGGGAATACCCTGAAGCATGTTGCTCGGGAGGGACCACCATTGGAGGTCTGCCACCACCCTGGGGGGCACTGTGACCACCTTGTCCAGGCCATCTCTGGCCTGGGAATAGCGGGAGGCCAGCCAGAGCTGAAGGGGCCGCATCCGAAGTCTGGCATGTCTCACCACATAGGTGCAAGCTGCCATGTGGCCTAGGATTTGGAGGCACATCCGTGCCGTGGTTACCGGAAAGGCCATGACCGAGGCAATGAGAGCTTTGAGCGTCTCGAATCTGTCCCGTGGGAGGGAGGCCATGGCTATCCGGGAATCTAATGGGTGATGTTGGCAACTCCCTTATGGAAAGGGAGTGCCACATGCCCCGGTACCGAGGAGGTGAGGACATTGAAGAGAGTATCGGAGGGCTCCTCCATCTCCTCGGCCCGGAGCTCGAGGTTGGCTGCCACCCTCCGAAGTAGCTCTTGATGCGCTTTAAAGTCCTCTTGAGAAGAGGGAGGCGGTAACGCAACCAAATCGCCCTGCGCCGAAGAGGTGGACGGTGCGGTGCCTTCGGCGGCCAACGGCATTGTGGGCTCCACATCCGGGTTCGGTGCCGGAGTCGGTGCCGGGGGTTTGGCACCCATGGCCTGATCCCGGTGCCGGGGAGGCGACGCGGGTTGGCCCTGAGAGGCTCCCGCCACGGAGCGAGGTCCCGGCTGCACAGGTGCCTGAGGCCACGGTGCCCACTGGCACCATTGTCCCTGCCAGGGCAAGGCCTGGAGCAGAGGCGCATCGGGCGCTGGCAGGGCAGGTTGGTCCTGTGGTGCAGCACTGGGAGAGACGGCTGCGCGCCGACGCCAAGGTCCGGGAGGAGCGCACGGTGCTGTAAGAATGGCTGGAGCGGTCTCTATCATGACGGCTCCTGCCCCGAGACTTCAACCTGGAGGAGGTCGAGAGATATATGTCCCTGGACTCCTTGCAGCACCTGTGGCCACAGTGCCTCGGTGCCGGGGACTCTCGGGACTCACCGCGAGCATGGCCCCTGTGACGGCGGGTGCTTGAGTACGAGCGTCAGTGCCGACGGCGTCGTGACCTGTTCCTCTCGGACTCACTGGAATTGGAACGGCGCTGCCTCTTGCCACCTCCTCGACGACGATTGAGACTGGAGGAGTGGGATCCGCTCATCGAAGAGCCCGGATGCGGAGTCGACGTGCGTCGTGGGGCTCTGCTCGGCACCTCAACCCGGGAAGGTGCCTCGACCTCCAACACCTCCGGGGAGGGCTGATGGGCGCCCAAAGGCAGCTTCCCACAGGACCGGGGGCCCGACTGAGGCGGTGCTCCCGGCACCGGAAGCGTTAAGATGTCACGCGCGGCCTGAGCTGCCTCTGGCGTCGAAGGCATGCGTACCGCCGGCGAGGCTCGTGCGGACGGGACTGGACTACTCTGCTCAGCCCGAGTCGGAGGTCTCTGTCCCGGTGGGGATCGCGGGCTGCCCAACTCAGGTCCGGCCTTACCCTTGTTCTTCTGTCGGCGCCACTGAGACTTCCCTTGCTTCTTAGCTGGGGAGTGGTGCCGGGACACTGACGGCGCCTCGCTGCGCACCGAGGACGCGGTACCGGGTGCCGATTCGGAACGGCGCACCGGAGGTGCTTCGCCACGTGCTGAAGACGCGGAGCCCGGCGCGGTGTCAGCTCGACGCGCCGGTGCTGGGGCCAATGCCAACTCCATTAAGAGAGCTCGGAGTCGGATCTCACGCTCCTTTTTCGTCCGAGGCTT